TTCTCACCTACATCGTCCATATAGGACGACTCGGGAACTCAACTCCTACCCCGGGCAGCTCACCTATCCCCTTATGCCCAGGGGAAAGGTATCAAGCCGTTTGACAGCTGGTGCTGGCTGTCAAACCGGCTTTTACGCGAAACAGGCGGGAGGCAGCAAACAGCTGCGACCGACGAAGTCGCCTGCCACCGGAAGTCTCCTGGTTTTAGTCAGATCTGAAACATTTTCCTAATTGGCAACAATTAAAGGTAGAATTTAAGGATAAATTGCAAAACTGTTTTGTGGATTATAGCTTTCTTTATCATAGTCAAATTTAATTCGTGGACTGATTGCCCTGGTTTAGGGTGCCCTTCTACAATCAAATGAAATTAGAGGCAGGAATGTTTAGTGACAATACCATCCTCCTTTTCCTCATTCTACAAAGTCAGATGTGTTTGTGTCCTACCAAAATTTAATTGGGTGGCTTCCAGATGTATGGGGAAAATTCTTGGAGTTCCCAGCCAGGAAATCTAAGAATTGTAATTTATTATTCTTGGAAGCAATAGGCTAGGGAAAACTTGGTGCAGTGTAGGACCTGCACCAACAAGTCTACATTTAAGATTTGTGATAAAATCTTTAATTAGTACAGATGGAGAATGCTTGAGGAACTAAGGAAAATAGATGTTTGTTCCCTGCCTCCCCCAGCATTCCCACTATGTTTGAGGTGGGAGATGGTTTCTCAGTGGAGATGCCTGATGGGTTGGCTTGAGTTTTCTCCTATTTTTTCCTCCTCATTTTGGTTCTTATTCTTCAGCGTTTCCCAGTGACTGTTGTAGCTGGTAGTGATACTGCGCAAGAGATAATGTCAGCTTTGGACAATTAGTCTGTCCTGTATACCGCTAGTCTATCTGCAGGCCCTGAGGAAAATGTTGACATGGAACATTTCTCTAAAAATACTGGTTATGAACAAATTGTCCCTTGTGTAAAGAAAAACTTTTGGACTCAGAACATAATGTTACAAACTTCAAAGCAGGACCTTCAAGGTACAAAAAGTGATGGAGGTCATAGGCCTTAGGCAAACTCAGACCTTTGGATCACACTTTCATTTAATGGCAGTCCTATCAGATATATCTTAGACTGCCTGTCAGTCAGTTCTGGTGGATAGTATTTGACTGGGATTTGGAACAGTGAGTTGAGATTCCCACTGATTTAACCCTTCAGGCAGCTTTATAATTGCCCTTTGAGTATTGATTAATCTAAGGGCCTCTGCAAGGATTAGTGTGTGATGATTGGATAGTAGAGCTGCCAATTAAAATCTGGGAATGCTAGTTTATATTTCAGCTGGAGATGTGAATTGTGAGAGATATTTGGGCTGTCTGAATGGAAGGCGAGGTGCGACGATGGCTCAGAGTTTTAACAGGGCATCTTCAGGGGCCGGGAGGGCAAAAAAGCCACGATAGCACATGTGACTGTGTGATTAAAGCCTTGTATAGTTTTTTACACACACCACATTGCAAAATGCACATATAAAGGGGGCAGGGCTACAATAATGTGGCCATGACCCCCATCTTGGTTTTTTTGACCTACCTACTCTTTTAGTCACCCTTGGGGTTGCAGGTTGCGAATACCAGCATACTAGTAATGAGCCATAGGCACAACTGAATCCAGGAAGTGAACTGTAAGCAGAAGTCAGGGCTGAAGAACAACTGGCAGGCAGAGAAAGCTAGAAATCTGGAAAGGAAGGCATTGAAGACTCCACATACAGAAGCATCCAGGGACTACCCAGGCAGATCATTTTTCCACCAGCTACACACTCTGTGGTCCAGTGTCTATTCTTACCATTCAGCTACATTGGATATATATTTCACTTGTTATTTATGAAGTTTATATTATCTCTAGAACAGTTTAATATTCCTATAAAATTTTCAGCATCAAAGTTACCATTTTTTTTGTAATGAACAACTTCTTATTTTAAACCTTTTTTTAAAAAAATTCCAGGATAATCATTATGCTGCTTGAACAACGTATAATGTAAACATATCACGGGGTGAATAGTGTTTGATTAATGGAAAGCAGAAAAGAGGAGAAGGAAAAACTAGTCTTGGATTGAATTCATTGCATTGCAATTTTTTTCCTTTGTCCCTCTTCCTTCCTTCCTTCCTTCCTTCCTTCCTTCCTTCCTTCCTTCCTTCCTTCCTTCCTTCCTTCCTTCCTTCCTTCCTTCCTTCCTTCCTTCTTTCCTTTCATTAGGTATTGGCGTCGAACCCTGGGCATGCAGGTGAAATATGTACATAGTGGTGATTATCAGTTTTGCTATTCTTACCGAGGGAGACCCAGCCACAGACCATCTGTCCTCATGCTGCACGGGTTCTCGGTTGAAAAAGATATGTGGGTTTCTATAATCAAGGTATGCTTCTGTTTCTCTGATGGTAAAACAATTCAATCTTGGATTTCAAGTGTCACCTGAACAATGGATCTTCAGTCCTTTGTGTGTGTGTGTTTGTATGTGTGTGTGCAGCTGACCTTTATTGTACTAAATGTGCTTATTGTGTGGACCATGCAATTATCTTGTCTTGCAATGGGATGACTGAAATTAACATGGAATATTTCTGTTAGAACAATAGATATTTCTGTTAGAACAGTTTGTATCCTCAGAAATAGTGTATGAATCAACCCTAGGGTTAAGATAATAGATATTTTGTTAGGATGGTCACTACCAAAATATCTTTGCTGTCTTCACCCATTTACTAAGGCAAATACTCCACAGTTATTTGATTCTAATAGGACTGGAACCCACTCTTCCACATACCTATAGATGGGACTAGTTTTTGCTGAGTTGGAAATAAATTATTGATGTTGAGCCTGGAAAAGAAAACACACCAACTTAGTTCTTGGGCCATAAAATCTATTTAATATGTCTTGAAAACTGCCATATGTTTGGGCACATGGATTCTCAGAAAGAACTTGAGGTTGATGAAGAGCTTGTGACTGTGCTTTCTCTTGTAAGAAGACTTTTATGTTTTACAGTACAGGAGGAGACACTAAAGGACCACATGTGGCCCACAACCCTGGAATGGATCCTCATAGTGGGAGAGAGTTGCCATTTCCTGTTTTACAAGAATGCTTTGTGCTGAGCCAGTCTGTGGTCAAAACAAGGCTGTTCAACTCCATGGACAGATTCTCGTGTTGTGCTAGGCTAACATATAGTTTGCTTAATTTTGGCTTAGCTTGTTATACAAACCCAGCCAATTACAGTTGTTTGCAATAAACCATTGTTGAATAAACGGTAGCTTAATACAATGTGTAAACCAGGATTGTAATAATGTAATAATAATAATAATAATAATAATAATAGTAGTAGTAGTAGTAGTAGTAGTAATAATAATAATAATAATAATAATAATAATAATAATAATAATAATAGTCATACTGGAATGTTGCTTAAGTTCGATTTTGATGATAAAGTATCTTGTGCTTGTGCTTGTTCTCCACAGTTTCTTCCAAAAAACCTTCACTTGATTTGTGTTGATATGCCAGGTCATGGGGATACTACTCGGTCATCTCTTGATGACTATTCCATATATGGACAAGTGAAAAGAATACATCAGGTAAAATGTGCAGAAGTTGCCCCTACATTGTTGCAGTCTTGTGGTTTCTTAGAGCTTCCAGTTTTGAAGTAATTAAAAATGAACGGGGAGGTGTGTTTTCTATTATATTTGAGGGGGGAAAGGCTACCAAGATTCCTCTATCTGGTATTTTCTCTATGCATTGGACTACTTTGTTGGGGAATAAGGGAGCTTAACTGTATTAAAGCCCAGTTTAGTTCAAGTGTCGCAGAAGCACAGCATAGACTCCAGACTCCGGGTTGTCAAATTTTTCCTCTGAGGAGATTGTGGCTTTATTTTTTGTGTGTCATAAAATAAACAATCTTTGCTGTTTATTACATACTTGAGCAATATTGAAGGTCACTCTTTCCAACACGTGTGCCAGTGTCTTCCTCCAGTTCTGATTTCTGGCTTTTCCACATGATACATTTCAGTCAGAAATGCAAAAGCACTGTCACCTCTTCTCAGTTCTCCTGTTCATACAAAATCTATAATTAGTCTTCCGGGTAGAACTTGTAGCACTTCGTAAATTATTTAAGATGCCACTTTGGAAGTCAGTCAGTGCTCTTGGGAGAGAGCTGTATCTGACATTTATTTATAGAGGAAACTTTTATGGCCACCTAGCTTATGCATAATCATCCTAGGCAGAAATATTCCATGAAAATAAAATAAACCCACAAAATCTCACAAAAGATATTGTACTCTCACCATAGTGGCACAGCATCCCACCAATTTGCTGGGCTCACTTCTGTCCTAGCCAGATGCCAGGGCAAAGAGACAGGTCTTTACAGCCCTCCAGAAGATTAATAGCATGGGGGGTGTTCCAAAGGGCTAGAACAGCCAGATGTCATGGGGGGTGTTCCAAAGGGCTAGAACAGCCATGGACAAGGCAAGTCTCCAGGTCAGTACTATATAGCCTACCCCAACTTTTTTGAGAAGCTGCTGGGCCAGGAAACTATGGCAGGAGCCAGTGAAATTGATGCGCCTCTGAGCAGCCATTTTAAATTTCCCACAATGGCTGTCTTTTGCTGCTTCCAAGCAAACCTACAACTAAGGGGCGGGACTGTCATTATCAGAGAAAATGAGCGGAGATACTTGTAAGCAGTGGGGCAGGAGTCACAGTGGCTCTTGACTTGAGCACCACACCACTTGCTTGTCAATGGTGAAACTCCAAAAGTGGGTGGGGCCACTTTGAATTTATTATTTTTAAATAGATTACTTGCCCTACAAAATATCAATAAGCAAATAGAAATGCTGCATCTGTTTTTCATACCTGTTCCTTCATTTTTTTTAACGAAAGGAAAAATAAAGATCACTAGATGGCATGGGAGTTTGAGGGTGGAGGGTTAAAGGGCCAATGTTGTCCACCCCGGGCGTTCTCTGTAGAGTGGCCTTCACACACACACAGCTACCTTTAGTTGGAAATCAGCTATAAGTTATAGTTATAAATCCACTACTTTTGGTTGTTTTGGGTGAATCTGCATTTTCCCTCTTTACCTGCCACATGGAGTTTCTTAATTAGAGCTGGATGTGTATCCTGGTGATTACAACATGGTCATCATGAAACCATGATAGTTACCGATTTCAGTTTGAGGCTAACCCTAACTGGACATTGTATGATTGATGTTTATGGGGTGGACACAATGAAGCACCTATTTTGAACAGTGGACTAGAAAGGGCAGAAATTTGGATTAAGTCCCAGCTGTCGCCCAAACTCTGCTTCTCAGAACACCCACTGTGGCCAGGGGGGCTTTTCATCAGGTTCGCCTGATACGCCAGTTGCGCCCCTTTCTGGATCGTGACGCTCTACGCACGGTCACTCAAGCCCTCGTTTCCCGCCTGGACTATTGCAACGCTCTCTACATGGGGCTCGCCTTGAGGTGCACCTGGAGGCTCCAGCTAGTTCAGAATGCGGCCGCGCGGGGGATTTTGGGGGCCTCTAGATACTCCCATGTAACACCTCTCCTGCGCGAGCTGCACTGGCTGCCTGTGGCCTTCCGGGTGCGCTTCAAGGTGTTAGTAACAACTTTTAAAGCGCTCCATGGCAATGGACCTAGGTATTTGCAAGACCGCCTCCTACCAAATACCTCCCTTCGACCAGTCCGCTCCCACAGAGAGGGCCTCCTTAGGGTGCCGTCGGCCAGTCAATGCCGGCTGGCGACCCCCAGGGGGAGAGCCTTCTCTGTGGCAGCTCCTGCCCTCTGGAATGACCTACCCCCCGACCTACGTACAGTTGCGGACCTGCGCCTCTTTCGCCGAGCCTTGAAAACCCATCTATTCCATGCGGCCGGCCTGGCGTAGTTTTGATTGTGTTTTGGTAGGGGTTTTTATGGGGGTATTTTAGAGCAGGCTTTTATTTAATATTTATTGTGATTTTTATTATCGCCTGTTCACCGCCCTGAGTCCCGTAAGGGAGATAGGGCGGTATATAAATTTAAATAAATAAATAAACAATTAATAAATAAAATCTGCTGAGCTCTCTGGAATGGCTAGCTGACTAGCCTACCTCTGTAGGGTATTGTTTGGTTTCTGACTTGAGAGTGAAATGCAGTGGCATGGGGTACCAGTGAGGGCCACAGGGTGGGAAAGAGCTGTGCTAGTCTTGCTTCTGGCTCATCAGTCCATCTTCTTCTGGCCTCAAGCATCAGGTCTTTTTTATACAACCTACTGAACCCTACAGATGACACCGATCTATGGTTAAGATTCCATAGAGGATGGGAGTAATGAAGGGAATCTCATTGGTCTTAACAAAAGAATGAAAATACTAATAACTTTATGGTATTTTTAAAAGTCTTCCTGGCTAAATAGCCTTCTTGAAATCACACATGACTTTTGGTGACTTTATGAACATGTTTTTGTACTTTTCCTGGCATCAGTACAGAAATGACTTGCACGTGCTTTCTTCCAGGATGCTTTTCTTTACTACTCAGTTTAGTCCACTGTTCTTGGAGTTCCCTGGAGGTCTCCCATCCAAGTACAGACTAGGCCTGACCTGCTTAACTTCTCAGCCAACACCACCTAGCCAGAAGCAGTCACATCCTGAAATTTCAAAAGTTAACAGGATTTTGCTACAGTATTTTAAAACTTGCAGTCTTTGCTCTTTGGGGATATTTACTTCTTCCTGATCCAGCACAGCTTTTCATCAGTAACACCAATTCTTTTTCAATTGAAAAAGAGCTCCCAGATTAAAGCAATTTCTGCATCCAGTCATGGTTTGCCTTCACACTGAACTTGAAATAAGCTTTCCTAATCCTTCCTATTTTGGACTAGGAGGGACAGCAACTTAGATTAAGCCCCAGCTGTTGTATTGTGACCTGCAGGATGCTTATGCATGGTCTCTCCTTTAATTTTTCAGTTTGTTGAATGTATCAATCTGAATCGAAAGCCATTTTGCCTGGTTGGAACTTCTATGGGTGGACACGTGGCTGGCGTTTATGCTGCTCAGTATCCTGCAGAGGTCTGCTACTTAAGTCTTATATGCCCTGGAGGTGAGTTTCCCTGTTTGTGTTGGAGGCAGTGTTTAAGGTGCTTTTGGGTTGAAAGGATTAGCCAGTGACATCACTGTTACCCGGGGACACCCGTGGGGGGCTTCTTTCATGTTCCTGTCAAGGAGCTGGAGCAAATGATGGGAGCTCACCCTGCCACACAGCAACATTCAGGTGTTGAACATGGGCTTGTTAACCTCCAACCCAGCATCCTAACCACGTGAGTCACTGTGTTCCTGCAGGTGAATGATGCAAAGGAAATCTGACTTCTGAGAAAGAAGGAAAATGCACTGGATGGGACCCATAAAATTATGTTTGCATGATAGATCCTAGGAAGAAACAGATGGATTTTAAGTCTCTTTTTGCAGTGAAGTTTGTCCTTGGTTCGGAGAAATCTATGTACTTTCTTTTCCTCTCCCTTCTATTTTCTCATCCCATCCCCGTTTTAGTACAATAAATGTGTTAAGTCTATTGAAGGATTCTTCCCAAGCTGGATGACTTCCAAAAATATGGGCGTCAAATCCTAGAAATTTCATCAATGGTCTATTTGGCTGCACAACTCTGAGTGTTGGGCAAGGTTGCATTAACATATTAAGATAAGATAAGATAAGATAAGATAAGATAAGATAAGATAAGATAAGATAAGATAACCTTTATTTTCATTTTTATACTGTGGGCACAATGGCACACATCAAAAATGAAATTTAGTTGCCCGCTCTCAAAGTGAAACACATACATGACACACACCTAAACATACTATGAACAACATATGTATAGACCCACATCCCTATATATACATAGCAAATAAATATTAAACATTGTCCATCTTGAATATATAATGTAAGGAGGAAGCTTGAGAGTTCGCAAGATTAATGCTGTATGGAATGAAACTCTGGCTGAACCTGGATGTTCTGCTTCGGATACCACAAAGCCTCCTCCCAGAAGGTAACAAGGAAAACAGGTCGTGAAGAGGATGTGTAGTGTCCCAAATAATCTTATGGACCCTGCTCAAGCAACGCTTCTGTGCCTCAAGATTTCAATGGTGTGTTACTAAATTTTATGTCACAACTTGGGCTCTTGCTGTAAACATGGTCAAAGGCTAGAGGGTCACATTTGGACTGTGGTTTGAATATCATTTGCTATGATCTGACATCAGGAAATTAAACATTTTGGGGCACATCTCTCTTCCAAGGGCAGTCATTGGTTAGTGGAAATGGACACAGTTGAATCATTCTGGATTTTTCTTTCCCAATTTGATGCCCTCCAGATGTGCTAGAATGAGAATGCTGGGGGATTATTCTACTGTGCAATTTAGAGCAGAAGATGCTTCATAAATGCTCACTGAATTCAACAATAGGGATATTTTTAATTGAATTTGTAATTCCATGCACTTAACTGAATTGCCAACTAAATCCTTAGGTCAGGTCTTGTTATCACTTCCCTTTCTTCATTTTCCCCAGCTTTTATTTCTTTAATTCTAAATAAAATTTTCTCTGGCAGGGTTATTGAGAAAATCTACCGCTTTGTGATCTTAGCACACAATGCTGCTTCTCCTCTCATTACAGGTATTCCACAGCCCCCAGAAAACAATTTTGCAAAACAGGTGAAGGAGTTGAAGAAGGACTGCTTTGATCAGTTTCCTTTGATTCCATCCACTGTGGAAGAAATGAGGGACATGCTAAAACTGTGCTCTTATGTTCGCTTCAAGGTGCCCCATCAGGTAAGCAAGTGGCATCATAGGAAAATATCTTTAAGTAGAATTTCCCCTCAAATTAGTTGTTTTATTGTTGACTACAAATAATACAATGTAGAGACCAATGAAAATTAAGTGCAGTGGTGTCTATTCAATCGGATCTGAAAACTGTTAACCCTGAGATTAAAGTAAATTAAACCTTTCAAATAGCAAATTTATATCAATGTTAAATGTATTCACATATGTACGAACATAGATTTGCTTATATTATTTATTTATTTAAGAAAATTTGTATGGTCGCCCACTCAGTGACTCTGAGCAACTTACAAAAATAAAAACTCAATATACAAACAATAAAAAACAACATCTCAATATGACATTGATTAGAAGTTGCAAAGAGCATTGAATTATTTTTTAATATGAAAGAAAGTTTATATTTTTGAATTTAAGACTAAAGTTGTGGCTATTTATGTTTAGTAACTAGAAATTCCCATCATTAAATGAGGACCATCTGGTTCATTAAGAGCCTCACATGATCGCAACTTACAACTTCCTGCCAGCTTCCCCATTGATGCTGGGAAAGTTGGCAATCACAGTCATGTGGCCATGGCTGACTGCAATGCTGTAATAGTGAGTTGACTACTGAGTGTGTAAATTGTGATCCTGTGATTGTGGGGTTGCTACGGTGGCTGGAATTTCATGGATTCCCTTTTGTTCAGCACCATTGTAACGTTGAATGGTTGCTGAATGAATGTACATAACCTGAGGACCACTTGTAACCCTGTTTTTGTCACTTACTTCAGCAATATGCGATGTCAGTGAGTTCCTTTGAGGGTTTATTGTATGATTTCTATGTCATCAGGCTTGGGAATAGCATACCTTTGTGAGCCTTCTATTCAGATTTCTAGTTCAGGAACTTTCAGCTACAATATCAAATTCCATGAGAGTGATGGAATTTTCATCATTAAACTGTAAGGCAAAGGTTTGGCAAAAGATATTAAAAGCTTAGGCTGCTCCTCTTTGGATAATAACACATATGAGGAACAGAATGAGGGTTATAGGAAGCTGCTTTAAATGGAGACAGACTCCATTTAAAAATTGCCAATGTGTCTTCAGAGCTCACACAGGAAAGCCTTTGCCAATTCTAACTAGAAATACCAGGAACTAAGTTTGCAAGCTACCCTTGGCAACTTGTGAGAGGCATTTTGTTGTTCTTCTAACTCAGGGGTGTCAAACAGCTGGCCCACGGGCCAGATGTGTCACGATGAAACCACGCCCACCCCATTGCCGGCAATGGGGAAAAAGCTCTGATACATTGCGCGATGTCACGTGACGTCGCGAGTTTGACATGTCTGTTCTAATTGATTCTAATGTCCTGAACATTTAGAAGCCATACAGGTATTAGAAAGAAAAGTACTGCAATGTGCTATGCTGGAGGGATAATTTTTAAAAGGAAAAAAGAATAAAAATAAAAGAAATGGAACTATGCAAACATTTAAAAGTTGGGGCACTATAAGGGCAACCCTGACTTAAATACATGAGTTACGCAAGATCCACAAATTATAAAAAAATATATTAAATCAAGATGAAAGGATGATTTTTTAAAATGGATGTAGCCTTGATTTGCTTTTCTTGTTCTTAGCTATCTTTCTAGTTTTCCTTCATGGAAGATACATTTTCATTTTTTAATTACCAGACATGTGAAACTCTTAGTTAAATTTTCTCTAGTAATACAGTAGGCCTCTATTTTCCACATTTTCCTGCCTCAGCCTTTTGTTGCTATAAGTCTCTAAATAGTTTATATCTTAATTTAGTTATTTACCACAGAGAAGGCAAATTGGGGTGTTCAAGAGTCTGATTGCCATTTCCAGCAAGCTCTGAGAAATGAATAAATGAATAACATGAGCTTTTTTTAAAAGAGGGAACTTGGCTTTATTTTTTAATACCATCTTTATATATTCATAGATCCTGCAGGGCCTTGTTGACGTTCGGATCCCACATAATGATTTTTACCGAAAATGTAAGTGCCTTGCACTAATTTTCTCTTGGATTTGAACTGAAAACAGCAGCATCTACAGAGGGGTTCCAGAAGGGAAAATTGCTCTACCCCTTTTGTACATGACATCATGGGCTGGATTTGCATTTTGTCATTTTGATGAACTCATCAGATTCTGCTGATGCTGCTGACTGAGGACACTTGGACCATTTATTTATCTTTATCCAGAAAGAAAAATTTTGCTTGTTTTTCATTAATGAAACAATGCCAAAACAAAGTTAAGTGTTATTTGACTTATATCCTATTTTTTGTACATGAGATCAAGGTAGCATACATAGTGCTATTTTTTTTCCCCCTGCAGCAACAACACTGTGTGGTAGATCGTGCTATGACCAATATTGCCAAAAATTAAAACAGTTTAATTTATAAACTATTTTAGGAGTTTAAAAAAAAGAAACTTGGCATATTTAAAGGACTAGAATCCACTAACATTGGATGGAAGCTGCATAACAAAACAATTGCCAAACAGAAGCCTTTAGCTTTGGGGAGCTGGGCAGAAGAAATCTGAAGTGGGTGTTTTAGTTCATTTGATTGATCTGCTAACAAATTGCTTGTGTGCTTCCTTTCTTCACTGAAATTTGATTCTAGCTTTGAGTGAATCTCTCATTTTGAGGGATTTTGGTTAAAGTTAAAAACTTTGTAAATGATGCAGAGTCTTTTTACATGCCATTTCAATTCCTCCCCCTTGCTTTTCGATTGGTATAGAAATGCATGATGTGCAGCTAAGGGCGAATACCTGAGACTGTGAGAAGATGGAGAAATAGCCATGGGAACAATGGTTTGGATTGTAACCACAGGCAAAAAAATGTTCCATCTGTGTTTGTTTTCCGAGGAAATGTAATTTTGCTGCACCAGAATTAATCAGTGAATGAATGGCTGGATTTGTTCCCTTACCCTCTTAGCCTGGTTCCTGAATTAACAACTTCTCTGGATTTGCCCAGTGCATCGAATCATATGCTGAGGGACCCTCCTCTCCTTGGCACTGTTGTTTCCTCAACTGACCTTGTTAAGTATGCCTTGTGAAGCCAGCCAGCAAATTGTCTGAAAAAGCTTTTGTGTCTCCCTGCCTGTGCAGTCTCTTCTCCTGCTAACCTCAGTAATTATTTTCCTTGCCTCTATTGCCTCATTGACAACAGTCTGTTGCCATTATTTTCTTTCTGGGTGAAGATCTTGAAGTCTGTTTCATCATAATTGGAATGCCTCGTTGCTTTGGGTGGACTGATTTGCTTCCCTCCCCCTCACTTCTTTTTCTCCTCTGTAAAGTGCTTTTAGAGCTAACAGATGAAAAGACAGCGACCTGCCTTTATGACAACATGAGCAAGATCAAAGCTGCAACACAGATTATCTGGGGGAAGCAAGATCAGGTATATCAGTTTTTCTCTAGGGTTTTTAACCAAGAACAGACTGCACTAGTCTGTTCTTCAGTATAATGTTGCCTCGTTCAATTGTGAAATACATAATGCATGTCCCAATTGTATGGTATTGAGTAACATGTTGCAATCCATTTTACTTTAGAAGATGGAGTACTTTTACAATTATATAGCCTGGTTCCATGACTTCAGATTGGAGTTCATGAAATTTGTGGCATGAAAATTCATAGGTTTGCAGTTTCTCTCCCTTTTTCCAGGATATTATTTGCCACATTTTCACATTTCTATGCTGCCATACCCCAAAACAATTGTGGATGGCTTTACAGATTAAAAACAATAAAATAGAAAAAAAATACCTGACAAAGCATCAAATATAACTGGTATATCAAGGGAAACCCATCAAACATGCTGGTTAAAAACACACCATACCTCCATTGTAACCATCAAAGTACACATCATATCACCCCTCCTTCCCTCCATCTTAAGTCTTTTTAATTTTGTTTTACTACTAGTGAGAACTCTGTGTGTGTGTGTGTGTGTGTTTAGGGAACTTTATCTGCTCGAGATCAGCAGTTTCCCAGATGAGTACTGTCTTCCAAGAGCAGATATTGTCTCCAAGTGATCATGTAAGCGGATGGCAGGCCACGTTAGTTTCTCCACATAGCATTGCCTCAGAAAAAAAAAAAAGTTGGGCTCTTGTTACAATGAAGATTATATTACAGCAGTAGAGTTATTAAAGGAGAGAGAATAACTAACAAATGTGACTTTGGGAAGGAAATGAGAGGACAGGAAAAAAGTAGGAAATGATGGTAAATGAGGAAATAATTTTATGTGAAGGAAACAGAGGGAAGCGCTGGATGAGCCTGAATGAAAATAGGTCTAAGTATATAACAGTACACAGTCATAGTCTCCAGCAGCCTTTCTTCAAAATATCTACTCTCGCATAGAGCCCATGTGTTTCTTCTGCCAATCGTCTCAAACTGTAACAAGCATGGACAATGTCCGTGTTTCTGAGCCATGAGAATGAGATACTTTATATATCAATTGTTGCCATGATATAGCAACAGTTCCTTTTATGAGGGGTCCTTGGTGATCTCTGAGCTTGGTGATTTTCTTGCAGACATTTCATTATCCACAGTAGGTAAACATCAGTGCTAGACTAGCCCTGATGATGTTACAGTAGTGGCCAAAATTGTGGAAACCTTTTGGGAAAAGTGTATTTTTGAGGTTTGATGGCTAATAACACCCCCTTTTATTTTGGAGTAGTACCATAAAATTATATATCATTGGAAAGATAATTTAATCAAGAATGTAATGCAACAAAGTTTGTTCAATTATCTGTACTGTATTCTATGAAACGTTATAGTCAAATAACCACAAAAATGAAGCACAACTTGCTTAGGTTGATATCAGGTAGCTTTCCTTCATCTGATTGTAGCCAATGAGCATGAGTGTTTAGAGAGCCAATCAGGTGTCATCTTGTTTTGGCAATGAGCCAATCAGATCACAGTAGGATTCAGTTATTGATGTCATGTATTGAAGGTGAGAGGAGGACATTTGTCGGTGTGTTATGTGATCGCTATCAAGTTGGTTGGGGTTTTTTGTGTTCTTTCATTTAGTGAGCTTGTAAAACGTAATAAAATTAAAGTAATGGTGTAAAGAGTTGACTGGTCGCCCAGAAAACGATTTAAAATAGAATTATTAAGTGAACAAGGCTATAGTGATAAAGAAATTAGAAGAAAAATTGGTGGAAACTTAACCAAAGGTGGCATTTCTACTGTACACTTTTCCCAAAAGGTTTCCACAATTTTGGCCATTACTGTACCTAATTTGGGTAATGAAACGTCTGCAAGAAAACCACCAACTCAGAGAGCACCAAGGACCCTTCATTTCAACCTTGAGCTACAAATATTCTCCCTTACAGAATTCCATTTATGAAAAGAAGTGTGAAAATTGTGACATTTTTTTTTACATTTTTTGTCCTAGTTGTTTCCTTGTGCAGTCAAATTGGTTCCTTTGTGAGCCAAATTTGATGCTGAAGTAGCTCGGAATATCTTGCTGAATTCAGGGATGGCCAACATGGGGATCATTTTTTCTTGGTTTATCTTTTTCTCTCTAGTTGCTCGATGTTTCAGGAGCAGACATTTTAGCAAAAGCAATCCCTGATGCCCAAGTTCATATTCTGGAAAATTGCGGGCACAGTATAGTCGTGGAACGACCCAGAAAAACAGCAAAACTTATTCTGGATTTCATCATCGCTGTACAGAATGCTGAGAATAAGAAGAAACTGGCTTGAACTTTTCCTATGGGTTTGAACCCTTAAGCCTAGCTGTATCAGTTGAGAGGAAATACTGCTAATTTAATCAGTTCTCAGGGATCTTATTATACAGAACTTGGTGATTGTGCCAAAATCCCTGAAGAAATCTGAATAATTCATATATTTAATTTAGAAGTCTTATCAGTGTAATGACTCTGGGATACTGAACAATCTTCACAAACATATGATAATGATAATAAAGTCTAATAAAAATCTGCATTTCTAGATATTTGGAGGAATAGTAAAAGACTTACAAGGTAGATGTGTAACACTAGGTTTTTTTTATACCAATCGCACATTTTAAAATATCCAATTTGAATTACTGCTAGGTAAAATAAGAAAAAAAACCCACCATCTTCTGTTGTTAGTATGTCCCTTTCTTGGTCTGGTAATGTTCCACTGAACTGTAACTCTAAACATCAGAGAAAAAAATGCCAAAGGGGAAATTGTTGAGGGACAGATTCTTATATGGGTTCTATGTTATCCAAAAAATGTGCATCTTGCCTTCCATTTGGGCTTTATCTATACAGTAGCATATCAATAATATAACACTGGTCTACAGATTTTGGGAAATTATCGACCTCCAAGATAAAATGTGTTAATCCTTACATATTTTGATTAGATAAATTAGAAAACAGGTGGTAAAGGTAAAGGCTTGTGAAAGTGTCATTGCCTAACATTTCCAAGGAACAAGTTGCGTGATATTTTCTCTCAGAAGCCAAGATGCCTTGAAACTGTGTAAACAATGCAGATATCTTCTGCTACAGTTGTGGTGAGGTTACATTTGCATCTCAAAAATGCAGTATGATGGCAGTGGTAAAAAAAGACATATCACCTATATTTTGGATGCAAAATAGGGGATCAGGACAAGAATTGGGCCCCTCATTATTGTTGCATTACATGCGCAGCTTATCTGCATCATTGGCTAAGCAAGAAGAAACAATCCATGCCTTTCGCAGTCCCAATGGTGTGGAGGGAACCCACCAATCATAGTAGCAACTGCTATTTTTGCATGGATCCCCCAGCTGCAAAAGGGATCTCAAGAAAGAAGAAGTGGACCCTGGAATATCCATCCATTCCATCCACACTATGTTCTGTTCTCCATGGTGAGGATTTACCAATTCGAGATCCACCAGAATCCTATTCTCTAAACCAGTGTTTCTCAACCTTGACAATTTTAAGGCATGTGGACTTCAACTCCCAGAATTCCACAGCCAGCATTGCTGGCTGTGGAATTCTGGGAGCTGAAGTCCACATGCCTTAAAATTGTCAAGGTTGAGAAACACTGCTAAACTCAGATGATGATAAAGACGATGAGCTGGATGCAGCTGATCCGGGGCTGTCTGTGTCAGCGGATCTGTGTTAGCCCACCATATGCTCTTCCTGAACCATATCTAATTTCACAGAGTGAATTAAATGACCTGGTCAGGGATTTGGAATTGCCTAAGGCAGAGCTTTTGGGCTCCAGATTACAACAGTGGAATCTCTTGCAGAGTGAAAAAATATGAAAATGTCACATGAAAGAAACAATAAATGAATGGGAAATTATGTTACTGGTATCGATAAAAAGATAAATTTGTGATGATTGGTGTGGCATCATTCTCATTGCTATATCACATTTTGTAGAAAAGTTATGGAGCATAATCTCACATCCTCGTAATTTTGAATTATTTTGATCCAATTTTGACCTGAAGGCATATCTTGGAAACAGGAGCCAATTAATACTCAGGACTTTATTTTCCTTTATTAGTGACCCAATTCTGGTAAAATTTAGCTACTTTCATTTTCAAGGCTTTCTTCTTGTTGACCAGTGTAATTATTGATACACAGTATTTATAAAAACTAAAATATGACTGTCAGAAAATTCTGAATCATGAAATTCATTGGCCACTTCTAGGTTTATGCAGTGACTTCATGCAATCAAGCATAATACCTAGTTAATTGGAATGTAGATGGCAATTGCAATTGATTTTAAATATGTAGAAAAAATGGCCTAGAGCAAAATTTCATACAGAGGGGGTAAAAGTGAGCTTCCATCTCTTAATATAGATGACTTTGCATGAGGAAATTTATTTATTTATTTATTAAATTTATATACCGCCCTATCTCCCTTACGGGACTCAGGGCGGTGAACAGGCGATACTAAAAACCACGATAATAAATAAATAGTTTCTGTTCTAAAATCGAATTAAATAACAGGCCTGTTCTAAAAACACACCCATACAAAAACCCCCACTGAAACATAATCAAACTACGCCAGGCCGGC